GGAGAGGAAGGACACCCCAAAACTGGGGGGAATGGACACGAGGGACTGGATCCTGCAGTGAGGAATGGACATGAGGGACTGGATCCTGCAGTGGGGAGGGCATGGAGGGGGAAGGACGCCCCAAAACTGGGGGGAATGGACACGAGGGACTGGATCCTGCAGTGGGGAGGGCATGGAGAGGAAGGACATCCCAAAACTGGGGGGAATGGACACCAGGGACTGGATCCTGCAGTGGGCAGGGCATGGAGGGGAAGGACACCCCAAAACTGGGGGAAATGGACACGAGTAACACACGAGGGAATGAATCCTGCAGTGGGCAGGACATGGAGAGGAAGGACACCCCAAAACTGGGGGGAATGGACATGAGTAACACACGAGGGACTGGATCCTGCAGTGGGGAGGGCATGGAGGGGAAGGACACCCCAAAACTGGGGGGAATGGACACCAGGGACTGGATCCTGCAGTGGGCAGGGCATGGAGGGGAAGGACACCCCAAAACTGGGGGGAATGGACACCAGGGACTGGATCCTGCAGTGGGCAGGGCATGGAGGGGAAGGACACCCCAAAACTGGGGGAAATGGACACGAGTAACACACGAGGGAATGAATCCTGCAGTGGGCAGGACATGGAGAGGAAGGACACCCCAAAACTGGGGGGAATGGACATGAGTAACACACGAGGGACTGGATCCTGCAGTGGGGAGGGCATGGAAGGAAAGGACACCCCAAAACTGGGGGGAATGGACACGAGGGACTGGATCCTGCAGTGAGGAATGGACATGAGGGACTGGATCCTGCAGTGGGGAGGGCATGGAGGGGGAAGGACGCCCCAAAACTGGGGGGAATGGACACCAGGGAATGGATCCTGCAGTGAGGAATGGACACCAGGGGCTGGATCCTGCAGTGGGGAGGGCATGGAGAGGAAGGACATCCCAAAACTGGGGGGAATGGATACCAGCTCCTGCAAAGAAGGGCCTGGGATGCCTTGGGGGGTTCTGCTTTGGGGGGTGCAGAGGGGCCATCCCAAATCCCTGTTCCCAATCCCTGCAGACCTGGAGGTGCTGTACTGGCGGCATTTCAAGGAGCGGCTGGCGGCGCGCAGGAAGCTCCAGAGCCGGGGGGTGAGTGGGGTGGGGGCTAAACTGGGGGGCCGGGGGGCTCCAGCACCCCCTTGCCGTGCTCTGGGGGTGCTCAGGGCAGTTCCTCCCCCAGGTGCTGCTGAGGGAGTCGGAGCCAGAGCTGGAGCAGGAGCGCGGGGCCGACAGCGAGGAAGGGGAAGGTGCTGGAACCCAAAACCCCAAATCCCCCCTGCCTGGGGAGCCTTTCTTTCCCTCCTGGGGGTCTGGGAGAGTCCCAGAAGGTTGGGGGGGTCTCAGGGGGCACTGAGGGGGTCTCAGGGGACACTGAGTGGTGTCCCCATCCTGGCAGACGATGATTTTGTGGAGCATGAGGACATGGAGCCTGAGGCACCAGAGGAACTGGAGGAGGAAAACCTGGGTGAGCTGCTGATCCTTCCCTCCCCAATCCCCCGCCCTTCTGTCCCCACTCTGTCCCCTGTCCCTCCCATGGAGGCGGCTGGGTGCTGTCCCCACCTCTGGTGACCCCTTTTCCCACAGACCCCCCTGAACCTGGCTACGAGGAGCTGGTGCGCAGGAACGTGGTAGGTGCTGCTGTGGGGACCTGGGGGTCACTCCAGACAGTCAAGGGGTCCCCAGGAGGCTTGGGGGTGTCCCCAGGAGGCTTGGGCGTGTGCCCATTGCTGTCCCTGTCCCCAGGAGCTGTTCATGGCCAGCTCCCAGAAGTTCGCGCAGGAGACGGAGCTGTCCCAGCGCATCCGGCAGTGGGAGGAGCGCATGGAGCCGCTGCTGCAGGAGCAGGCACGGGGCTGGGCTGGGCTGGGGGGCACTGCCTGAGCTGGGCAGGGGGCTGGCACTGCCCTGCTCACCCGGAGTCCCTGTGCTCACACCTGAACACCCGGTATCCACCCCGCCCCGAGCCCTCTGCCCTTCACTGCCCACCCCAGAGCACCCCATACCCGCCACTGAGACCTGCCACTGAGCACCCCATACCCACCCCCTGTACCTGCCTCCGAGCACCCCGTACCCACCCCAGAGTCCCCTGCCCACATTTGAGCCTCCCCTGAACCCTCTCTCTCCATCCCTGCCCCTCCCTGTCCCCTCTTACCTGCAGTTCTGTGCCCATTCCATGTCCATGGGTAGGGGCTGGCACTGACCGGTGACACTCCCTGACCCTCACTGGCCCCCAGGAGAGCCGTGTCCCATTCCAGGTCCAAGCCCACAGGCTGGCACTGACCAGTGACACTCCCTGACCCTCACTGGCCCCCAGGAGAGCCGTGTCCCATTCCATGTCCAAACCCATGGGCTGGCACTGACCAGTGACACTCCCTGACCCTCCCTGACCCTTGCTGTCCCCTCGCTGTCCCCCAGGAGAGCCGTGTCCCATTCCATGTCCAAACCCATGGGCTGGCACTGACCAGTGACACTCCCTGACCCTCCCTGACCCTCGCTGTCCCCCAGGAGAGCCGTGTCGCGTTCGATGTCCGAGCCTACGGGCAGCAGCTGACCGAGCGCTGCGCGGAGCTGGGCCAGTGGCACTCTCTGGCCAGCCTGGTGGCCGGGCAGCCCCCGTTCGAGGTGTGCCGCTACCTGCTGGCCTCGCTGCAGCTGGTAAGGCTTTGGGGGCTCCCTGGGGGGTCGCTGGGTGTGCCAGCCCCCCCTGCCACCCGCTGTTCCCTCCCCAGGCCAACGACGAGGAGGTGGAGCTGGCGCAGGAGCCGGGGCTGGAGGCGGCGCTGGACACGGCGCGGCTGCGGCTGATCTCGGCCCGCCCGGCACACGAGAGGTTCCAGCAGCTCCAGCTGCCCTCCCAGAGAGACCCCGGCCCCCAATAAACCCCCCTTTGCTAAGGAGAGGCCTCTGACCTAGGGGTGACGGGGAGGTGTAATGGGGGTGGGGGGGTCACTTCAGTCACCTGCACAGGGACCCCCAGCCATGCAGAGGGGCCTGGGGGGCTGCAGGGGTGGGGGGCATCACTTCAGTCACCTGCACAGGGACCCCCAGCCATGCAGAGGGGCCTGGGGTGCTGCAGGGGCAGGGAGAGGCTCTGGGGGGTCCTGCCCACCTACCTTGTCTCCCTTTGGGAAGGGGTCACTTCACTCACCTCTGCAGAGCCCCCCCCACGATGGGACACTCCTGGGGGGGCTGCAGGGGTCCCTCCCTGCCATGTGACACTGCTGGGGGGCAGTGGGGTCTGGTGGGGGTCCCTCCACCCACCCACGTTCTCCCCCTCACAGGACACACCTGGGGGTCACTCCACCTGGCCACTCAAAACCTTCCTCATCACAGACCTTTCCTGGGGACACTGTGGGCTGTCAGGTGTCCCCTCCCTGCCATGGGACATCCCTTGGGGGATGTGGGCTCTGTCCCTCCCACAGGACACACCTGGGGGACACTGGGGACTGTCAGGTGTCCCCTTCTGCAGGGCGTGGGCTCCGTCCCTCTCACAGGTCACACCTCAGGGACACTGGAGGTGTCAGCTGTCCCCTTCTATGTGCCACCCCTGCAGGGCGTGGGCTCCGTCCCTCTCACAGGTCACACCTCAGGGACACTGGAGGTGTCAGCTGTCCCCTTCTATGTGCCACCCCTGCAGGGCGTGGGCTCTGTCCCTCTCACAGGTCACACCTGGGGGACACTGGAGGTGTCAGCCGTCCCTCCCCCGCCATGTGCCACCCCCAATCACCACAGACCCCTCTCGGGGTGGGTGTCACGGCCGTTTATTGCCCTCCCTCGGGGGGCAGCGGCTCGTAGTTGTCCATGTGTCCCTTGACGCTGCGCGCCATCTCCTCGGCCGTGCGGGAGCTGCCGTAGCAGTCGCGGAAGAGCCCGTCGGGATCCACCAGGAACGTCAGCACCGAGTGATCCACCACGTAATCGCCGTCGGCGTCGCGGGGCCCGGCGCTGACGTAGACGCGGAAGGCGGCGGCGGCGGCGCGCACCTGCTCGGGGGTGCCGGTGAGCCCCAGCAGGCGCGGGTGGAAGTCGCGCAGGTACCGCGCCAGCGCCGCCTCGTCGTCGCGCTCGGGGTCCACGGTGACGAAGAGCGGCTGCAGCGGCGGCAGCGCCGGGTCGCGCTCCAGCAGGCGCACGGCGCGGCTCAGCCTCTCCAGCTGCTCGGGGCACACGTCCGGGCAGTGCGTGAAGCCGAAGTAGAGCAGCACCCAGCGGCCCAGGAAATCCGCCTTGCTCCGCGCCGCGCCCGTGCTGTCCCGCAGCTGGAAGTCGCCCTGGCCCAGCGCCAGCCGGCGGAGCTGCCGGAGGCGGCGGGAGCGCTGCTGCCGCTCCTTCTGCTGCCGCAGGTACAGCCAGCCCGCGGCCGCCGCGCCCCCCAAACGCCCCCTGATCCCTCATCTCACCCTTTGGACCCCAACCCTGTCCCCAAACGTCCCCTGACCCCTCATCCCATCCCTTGGACCCCAGCCCTGTCCCCCAAATGCCCCTTGACCCCTCATCCCATCCCTCCTGACACCCTTGGACCCCCCACTCTTTTCCCCCAAATAGCCCCTGCCCGTTATCCTGATGTTCTTGGAGCTCCTACCCTGTCCCCCAAACGCCCCCTGACCCCCTCACCTCCCCCTCAGCCGCGGCGTGCAGTCCCCGCTGACCTTTGACCTCTCCCGGTCCCCCCGCCCCGTCCGCCGCCGGTCCCGCCCGGAGCGCCCGCGCCGCTGCCGCCGGAACCGGAAATACCGGCAAGGGGCGGGGCCACGGAGGAAAGGGGCGTGACCACTACGGGAGAGGGCGTGGTCTGTAGAGTGCGCGTACAAGGTGGGCGGGGTGCGGCCAAAGCGGGAGGGGCGTGGCCAATGCCAGGGGCGTGGCCACAGCACACTTCCCTCTTCCACCACGAGGTGGCGCCACCGCCCCGCGCCGCAGCCCTCAGAATCGTGGGGGGGTGAATCGCGACACGGCCCCGACATCGCGGTCACTGCGGTTTATTGTGAGTCCCGGCACGGCCCGGGAGGGCTCCCGAGGGCACGATGGTCTCGGCCACCAGCGGCGGCGGGTCCCGGGGGGGCTCCGGGCCGAGGCACAGCGCGTCCTGCAGCTGGCGCCGGCCCTCGGCGCTGAGGGTCCCCTCATGGTGCACCCGCAGCCAGGGCTCGCCTGAGGGAGGGGACACGGGGGGGTCACCGGGGGGCTCTGATCACCCCCATATCCCCCCTCATTCGGGGTTCACCCCCAGCCGGGACTCTTCTGAAGGAGGGGACAAGAAGGCGTCACCGGGGGGCTCTGATCACCCCAGATATCCCCCCCCAAACCGGGGTTCATCCCCAGACACGGCTCGCCTGAGGGAGGGGACAAGAAGGGGTCACCGGGGGGCTCTGATCCCCCCAGATATCCCCCCACAACCCGAGTATACCCCCAGGCAGGGCTTGTCTGAGGGAGGGAGGCACAGAGGGCTATCGGGGGGCTCTGATTCCCCCAGATATCCCCCCCCAAACTGGGGTTCACCCCCAGCCAGGGCTCGCCTCAGGGAGGGGGACACGGCGGTGACACGGGTATGATGGGGGTTTCGGGGGGCTCCCCTCACCTGCCCGCAGGTGCTGCCCGGTGCCCACCAGCAGCTCGGCGCCCACGCGGGGGTTCACGGGGTCCCCGGCCCGCGACCGGCCCGCGCCCAGGCGGTGCAGGACCCGCGCCAGGGGCAGCGCCCGCACCTGCTGCACCCAGCCTGGGGAGAGGGGGTCAGGGGGACAGGGACATGGGGAGGGGACAGGGACATGGGGGGGTCAGGGACA